AGCAGAGAACATTCAGGTGGGATCTCTCTTCCCTCCAAAATCCAGGAGAGCCCTGGCTCTGCTGTCAGAGAGGCTCCTCCTGCTACCCCTGCTGTGCTGGCTCTGCACCCTGGGAGGGACCTCTTGGCTCCTTGCTGCACATGCTGACATTCCAGGTTTGTTTAGGATAGGATCTGTTGCCCAGGCTGGTCCCAAACTCACACACATCCTGCAGGATCACAAGCCTACTCCTGGCTTGATGTCTGGCTAGAAAGTTCATTAGCAAATGCTCTTGGTCACCCGGGAGGTGTTTGCAATCAGCAGGCGTTCACTAGGCACCTGGTATACAGCAGGTACTCCATATGTCCTCATTAATTCTCTTCGAGGCCTTGAGGATGAGTGGGGAGGGCTGGTAAGGGTCCAGGCTTCTGTAGGGTTCCCTTAAAGTCTGGCTGCTGGTGGGGCTGAGGTGTTGGAAGGTCCCTGCCCTCGACAAGGTTGTTTGAATGTCATCTCTTGGGCCTGCTGAAAAGCCAGCTTTGCCACCAAGGAAACTGCATTGATCTGATGGACATTGATTGGTTCTGTAGGCTCCTCAGGGGTATTTGTCACCTGCTCTGGGACTGTTTAGGATGGCAGGTAGTGCTTGGACAGGTGGGGAAGCTCAGGGCTGGTGGGTTTGTAAGAATGTTGTGACTCAGGGACCCCCAGGGGTCAAGGTGCTATGAGCATTGTTTCTGTTGTGGCTCTCGTGTGCTCAGCCAAGTCTTTGTTTCCATTACCTGTTCACGCATGCTGTCTCAGGATTGAAGAGGGCTGCTCTGTTGTCACCCAACAGGACTGAGAACCCCTAGACAAAGAAGGTAGGATGGTAGTGTCCCCATTGCACATCCTTAGATGCCAGTCCAGGCCATTGTTTCTAACTGTGAGAAGTAAGGGGAGCTATTGATTACTCCATTCTCTTATGGAGACAACATTCAAACCCTAGAATTCCTGTTCTACCCTCTTGGGGGTCTCCATCTTTCCTTCCATTCCCCCAGAATTCAGTCTTCTTGAGCTCTAGGCTCCTAGGTGCAGATGACTAACGGTGGGAAAATAGGTATTGGATCAGGCCACTAAGCTGTCCAACCTGGAGGCTCTGACTCCTCTGCTCCTACCTTCCCTGCATGCATGGCCCGGTTCATCTTCCAATAGGCTTGGAGCCTTTCATCCTGAGCCAGCGGGAATGTGTCAGGAGCTGTGGGCAGCAGTGCCGCACTGGCCCGACTTCTGAGCCTTGGAGTCTTGAGTGAGTCCCAGGTCCTGCCATCTGGGATTTCCCCTTGTTCCTGAGGCCAGCAGGAGCTGAGGGTCCCAGGGACTGGTCTTGCTGTGCTGCCTGCAGGGTCGCTGTGCCATGTTCAGGGTAGATGAGCTACAAAGGAAGCAGTTGGCACTTGGAGTCAGCCTGAGCTTCAGGGGGACTTTGGAGACACATTGGCCCTCCAGACCCATTTCCCTGTCTCTCTCTGATGTGACAGTTAAGGCCATGTCCCTAAGGTGCCTGGCATGAAGCATTCATAATGACTGCCAAATTCATCACTGTGGTATGTGCTAGTCTGGGTGGGTGGAAGGCTGGGCACCAGCTGGGGAGGGTGAAAGGTGGAAGCTTTTGGAATGGGTGGCAGATGAGTGAGATTGTGAAGGATGGGCAGGAGTCTGCCTTAGAGGGAAGGTGATGGCATGCAGTGGGTATGCTTGCTACCAGCAAGAGGCTTGGAGTGCCCCGGGGCCAGCAGGAGATTCAGCCATTGAACTCATTGATATCTGAATCCAGGGGTCCTTGGGTGTCAGGGTAAGGGGGTGATGGGGATCCATGGAAGGCTTTAGAGAGATAGACATGCATAGATTAATCTGGAGAGGACAAATTAGTTTGGGGGCAAGAAAATATAGGTATAGCTGTACATGGAGTGCTGCCTCTGCAGCTGGCTGCTTGAAGTAAATTTCCCCTCCGCTCCCCACCAAGACAGGACCTCATGGACGCTAAACTAGTTTTAGACTTATAATGTAGCCGAGGATGACCTCCTGCCTCTGCCTCCTAAGTACTGCTTGGACTATAGGGATTGGCTACCATGCTACCATGGTTGACTTTATATGGTTCTTGGGATGGAACCCAGGCCTATGTGTACACTAGTGAAACACTACCAACTGAGCTGAATCTCTAGCTCTACAATACTTTTGCTTGTTTTGGTTTAAGTTTTGTACCTCTAATTGGTCCTGAACCTCCTGTCTCAGCCTCCCAAGTGCTGGCATTACAGATATGGACCAGTACACCTGGCTAAATCTGTTCCTCTTTGTGTCTCTCTTAGTTTCCTCCTTTCTATGTGGGCTTCTCAAAGAGTCTGAGAATTCTGGGCCTGACATCACATGGGACCCACTGGAGAGGCAGGGACCAGAGCTGCGGCCCCAGGAGAGGCTGGTACTGGGTCAGGGATGTGCTGTGGCTCAGGGAAGCAGGGACAGCATTGCAGGGACAGGACACATGACTGGGAGGGAACATTGGCCAAGGAGCCCAGCAGGCCTGGTGTAGACAGATCCCAGCCATGTGACCCAGGAGTGGCCTTGAGTTTTCCCATCTGTAAATGGGCCTGCCAGGTGCACTTGGGCTTGGGTCTGCAGGAAGGACAGAGGCAGCAGAAACTGGGCTGTGAGAGGGAGGTGGGGTGTGTGTGCGTGGGATCAAGGGGAATGGGGATGCTCAATGGTAATTAGAACGTTTGAACTTCAAAAAAGTTAATTAATGATGAAGCTGCTTCTGGAGTGATGCTTGGGCTCAAAGGGGGCCTGGCAGCGACTGAAATTAATTACAGGCTATGGCGGGAGAGTGGCAGCCAGGCCAGGGACAGGAAGGAGCAGGGCAGGGATGGAGGCCATAGAAGGCAGCTTTCAAGGTGAGCAGGGTCTGGGGACCAGAGGGGGCTGTTGCCATGGAAACTAGGTCAGCTCTCTTAGCAGGCAGGAGGGGCCCAGTCCACTGTGGTTGGTATCTGGCTGTGGTGGGCTGGCGTTGCTTTATGGTGGTATGATCTGGGGTTGAGCTGCGTGTCCAGGGCCCCCGAGAAAAGCTCATGTATTCATTCAGCAAGCCTTGGTTAGCATCTATCTACATGCTGTTATGGACTGAACTGAGAGTGTGAATCCCAGCAACCCAAACTTTGCTCTAGAAGTGGGCAGAGATAATGAGCGTCATCTCCTTGGTCTAGAAACGAGAGCCGTGTCAAGCTGGAGGGCTGTTGGGGAGGGGCTTCTGGGGTTGAAGAGATGGGTGGAACTCCTTGTAGGCAGTGCCTGGAAAGGATTAGCCCTCGAGAGTCCTGGGAGCTATCTCCCAGTGGAAGGGACAGTTCTTGGAAAGGTCCTGAGGTGGCATGTGCTTGAGACCAGACAGAGTAAGCGGGAGGCTGTAGGCTGGAAGGAGGCAGTCAGGGGAAGGAGAGGAAGGTAGGGTCTTGCTGGTCAGCTTTGGGAAGGGCTTCAGAACTTATGCCAGGAGAAGTTGGGAGCCATAGTAGGCTCTGAGCAGAGGAGGAAGCATCTCCCTGAGTGTTTTGTTTGTTTGTTTTCCAAGACAGGATTTCTCTGTGTAGCCCTGGTGGTCCTGGAATTCACTCTGTAGACCAGGCTGGCCTTGAACTCAGAGATTCGCTTGCCTGTCTCCTGAGTGCTGGGATTAAAGACATGTGCTGGCCTCCCTGATGTTTTTAATGGCTCACTGATACCATTACAGAAGAGGGGTTGGGACAGCCTTTATGTACCTGTGAGGTGCTCCTGGACTCCAGTAAGGAGCTTCTGGGAGCTTAGAGACAGGAAGGGGCTTGCTTGAGACCCCAGAGCCACTCTATGCTGGGACTGGAGTTCACATACAGGCCCTGGTCACTGATGCTGCTGGGTGCTCTGACAACACATAGCCTAGCCACTCTGTCTGTACCCAGATGCTAAGTGATGAGGTCATGGATAGGAGTGTTCAGACAGCTGGTGGTAGGGGCTGCCATCTCCCTCCTAGTAGATGAGAAACACTTCCGGGTCAGTCATCACCTTCAAGGGAAGCCAGTCTCCTCAGTCTGGAAGTTCACCCCTGACACTGACTTCAGTTATTCATGCTGTGTGTGGTTTAACTTCATTTTGCCATGCTGCATTTTCATTTTACCAGGATGCGCTTTCTTGGGTACAGATCTCCTTAGGCCCAAGGGCTTGGGCAAAAGAGGAGATGCCATGGGGGAGATATGAGCAGACTCTAGCCCTCTCAGCTATATCATGACAACTGGGGGGCTGGGAGGGACACAGCTGAGAGAGCTCTTTGAATTTCGAGCTCCCTGGTTAGGTAGATTGAGATAGGCAAATGTGGATGGAGTCAGCTGTGGCCCAAGAGCGGTTGTTAGCAGGGGGAAGGGGGCACTTAGGAAGTTCTCTGCCTGGGCTGCAGGATGCCTCATCCTGCTGGTGGCTCGTGGCTGAGTGAAGAACTGATTTAGGTTCTCTGGCTCCAGGCAGACTCTCTGGGTGGGGATGGCCTGGGAGCCTCAGCCGGAGGGTGACTATGATCTTCAACCATGGAGATGGGCAGGTTGGGAGAACGTGTCCAGGAGGTCTCAGAAATGCAGTAGAGTCCTTGAACTGGAAGCAAGAGGCCTCTGCAGAGGGAGGGTTGGGTGATGGGAGAAGGGGGTCAGAGAAGGGCTTAGGCATCAGAGCTGTTGGGGCTGGGAACTTTTCTGGGAACCACTCCCTCCTGGGTGGGACCAGGAGCATCCTCGAGTGGACGCTTGGATGGTTTTGGTTTGGTTCCTTGCAGGGTGTGGCCTTAGTCTTACTGCTGTGTGTGGGGTACAGTCTTTGAAAAATTGAACCTGAGCCATTGAGGGGTCCACAGGGTGGGAGGGAAGGCAGAAATGGTCTGTGTCTGTTCCTGGGGTGTCACATTCAGGAGTGTAGCACCGTAAGCCATGCTGCCACCAGTTCATCCTTGACTCCGAGTACATGGTTCGAGTGTGTGAGCATGCTGGTCATCCTGCTGAACTGTGTGACCCTGGGCATGTACCAGCCATGTGACGACATGGAGTGCCTGTCAGACCGCTGCAAGATACTACAGGTGAGCTTCTGAGTGGTCCCCTTCCTCCTCCCAATCTCAGGGCTCTACCCTGGTGCAGCTCCCCACCTCTCCTACCTAATTGCTTCCTCCATCAGCTTCCTTTGCTTTCCCAGCTGAGGCTCCTCACCTCACCCCATTCACAATTCCTCCCAATCTCAGGGCTCTACCCTGGTGCAGCTCCCCACCTTTCCTACCTAATTGCTTCCTCCACCAGCTTCCTTTGCTTTCCCAGCTGAGGCTCCTCACCTCACCCCATTCACACCAGCAAAATACAGTGGCTGACACTTCTTTGCCTATAGCCTGCCTTGGCTCCTGAGTACCCCTTCCCATGACTTTTAGGACTGTCCTCTTGCATTTCTCCTGCTTTTACTCCCCAGGTTCTGGGTTGACCCTGATGTGGTCATCTGCATGGATTTGAGCAGGGTGTGAAGAACCAGAAAACAGGGCTCTGGGGCTGCACCCATTTTACAGAAGTAGAATATTCGAGGCCCCACCCTGGGAGCCAGACCTGAGTTTCATTTTAATCCTGGCATGCAGTTTCGGTGAAACCTGGGGCGAGGTGCTTGACTTCTCTGAGTCTTGTTTCCTTCCTTGTAAAGTAGGCTAACCAATGGTCCTTGTCATTGCCTGGGCTAAAGCAATGAACAGAATGGTCTATGTGACCTTGGGCAACTTCATCCCTTGTCTGTGGGCTAAGTGACTAGGGCTTCTGAGGTTCTTTTCCTGTCCCACCTTTGACATCACAGTGGCCCTGACCCCCGCTTCCACCCTGGGAGTTCACTCTGCCCTGTGCTGTCTTCTTCCTGCCCCATAGGTCTTTGATGACTTCATCTTCATCTTCTTTGCCATGGAGATGGTGCTTAAGATGGTGGCCCTGGGCATTTTTGGCAAGAAGTGCTACCTCGGGGACACATGGAACCGCCTGGATTTCTTCATTGTCATGGCAGGGTAGGTAAATGAACTGTGTTTGATGCGTGCCAGCTACCATGTATCTAACCCAGGGGCTTCTGGGAGATGATGGTGATGCTGTGTGAGAATGTGGGGCCTCTGGCCCAGGGGGCAGGAGGAATGGTGCTCTCCGGGGACAGGCCTGGACAGACAGCTGTCCGTTCTTCTAGATGGGCAGCGTGGACTGTTTTATGTTGATTAACTGAATGCCTATGAGAAAGTCACTTAACCTTGTGAAGCCTCCATTTTCCCCATCTGTAAAAAAGGAGAAAAGATACTCTCCTGGTCCAAATGAACATCAAGAAGTGTTGGCAGCCAGCTGCACCACCACCACCATCACTATCGTAACCGTCACCATTCTTATCATCATTGTCACTATTGTCACCACACTATCCCCATGTTACTATTATCACTCATCACCACCACCATAACCATTATTACCATTGCCGTCCTCACCCTCATCAGCACCATCACGATCACCAGCACCACCATTTTCACCATCACGACTATAGTCATCTTCATCATCACAGCATATTTTCACCACAATCCATCATCATCATCACCATCATCATTATGACTATCATAATAACCATATCATCACTACCACTGCCATCATCATTATAACCATTACCGCCATCATCTCCACAGTTATCATCCAACACTACTGTCACCGTCATCACTGCCATCCTAGTTGTCACCATTATCGTCATCATCACCACCACCATTATCACCATATGACCATCATCAACACAGTCGGCTTCACCATCATCATCATTATGGTCACTCAGCAAGTCAGAAACGGAGAATAGACTCAGGCATCATCTAATCCCATTTCTGGTCACTTCTAATACAGCTGAATGGCTTTAGTGGGAGGATCACTTAACCTGGGAATTTAGGACCAGCCTGGGTCTTAGAACAAGACTTGGTGAAAAAAGAAAAAGACACACGCTGCAGTCAGAAGCCAGGAAAAACTAGATTCCATTTTTTTTACCCACTTGGAGCATCACCCAGGCTTCCTTTCTGCTTTCCTGTGCTGCAGTCAGAAGCTAGGAAAAACTAGATTCCATTTTTTTTTTACCCACTTGGAGCATCACCCAGGCTTCCTTTCTGCTTTCCTGTAGTCTCTTCAGCATCCAGGGATGCAGAAGGCTCTGTTGAGTGTGGGTCCTGCCCTGGAGGCCAGGTGAGGGGGAGCGAAGGCTATATTTAGGTGGGTCCTGCCAGGCTGACTGTCTAGGACAGTGTCCGGAAGCTCTGCTGTGGTGGGGTCTGTTCTCACTTGGACTAGGACTCTGAGCAAGGTGCTGTGTTTTTGCTGAGATCATTTAGCCCAGGAGTCTGATGGAACCTGGCTGGGGACATGGGGACTTGTGTTCTGTCCTGAGGAGGTAACACATGGGAGATACAAGACAGACAGGTGCTAAACATGCTTAGCCATGACAGGAATTAGGAGAGAAGAAGGCTTGTGACCAAGAATGCATGTGTGCCTGTTAGTGTGTGTGTGAGCACATGTATGCATTTGTACATGAGTATTTTGCCATCTGTAAAGGGCAGCAGAGTCACCTGCAAAGAATTTAGAGGCCCAGGAATGTGCTGAGTTCTCAGGCTCTGTCCTGAAATGTGACAGTTTATGTCATCACTCTGTTTCCAAGCATCCCTTCCTGATGGTGCTGTTCAGACTCCCAGCCCCCTTGTCCTTAGGAATTTGGACCACGCCTGAAGGCAGGTAGAATTGAGATGGTTTCTTGGGTACTAAGTCATCACCTTTGTCAGGTGTGTTTTCATTTTGGGCTGACTGGAGAATACCCTTAAGTAGAGTTTCAAAGAAAATGTTTTGGATAGTATCATTTTTTAGTATTGGCTGCGCAAACTCATCCCTTTGATCTTGGAATGGGAAGGACAGAGTGTGTCTGCTCTTTCACAGGACTGTGATTTCACTCCCTTAGAACCGGTGACGTTGTGCCATGTGAACTGATTGATACCATGGGCTGCGCAGAGCTCAGTGACACCTTGCTCTCCTTTCTTAGAAGGAAACAGCCTTGTCTAGACAAGAAGCTTCTTCTTTTCCTCCTTGTCTTCAGAATTGAGAGTTTCTCCGGGGTGTTGGCTCAGGGCACTACCCCCCCTTTTTTTTTTTTTTTGATTTTTTAACTTCTTTTCCTGCCTTGCCCCTCTCAAATTCCTGTTAGCTGGGTCATCTCTCCTCTCTCTTGTCTCTGCATCTGTCCTGTGTTATCTGGAATGGGAGGGAGTTCTGGACTCAGTTTTGTGAGTCACCCCTGACTCAGCAGGGTCCTTTGTCCCTTCACTGCCCCTGCTAGAATTGTCTCTTTCTCTGTTGTTTTCACACCCGGATGGATGTCTTCTTGCTGTTGTGTTTTCTGGGTTTCAGGGCAGTTTGTGCCCGGCTCTGTCTTGTAGATGTGCTGCATCTCCTTGGGAGAACTAATGATGCCTCTCTGCTTCTGGAAGGAAGCTTAGATCAGAGTGTCATTTCCAAAAGTTTAAAAAGACAAATATGAAGAGAAGGGACCCTTGTACAAATCTGGGAGTGCCCGTGCACCACTGGGTATTCTGCTAAAGTGGGGACAGGTGAGATGGTGACTACAGCATCTGGGAGCCGTTGTAGAAGAGGGCCAGGGAGCCACTAGAGCTGAGTGGTGGCATGCTGGTGGCCTCCATGAAGACATCACAGGGCTGGTGATGGACAGAAGTCCTTCCTGTTGGGAAGAAATTGCATCCATCTTTGCCTGGTAAAAATCTACAAATCAGCTTGCAATTTCCCAGCATCTCTACACCTTTTAATTAATGGGAAAGAGTAAGTCAAAGATATTGTCCCCTAGATTCTGAAAAATTGTCAGGTACATCTGTTAGCTCATGCTAACAGGGCCTCACTGTGCAGCCCTGGCTGGTCTGGACCTCAT